CTTACTTGATATAACTGTATGAATGTTAGTGAATGGAGGTTGTGTCGCTTAATTTGGAATGATATTGATTTTCATGTTTGTAAACTCAATTCTTTAGGTTGTACATCTTTAAAACTCTTTCAAAACACATGAAATCAAGTTGTTCCAAAATGAATGACATAGTCTATACTTGTTTGCTTCATTGTTATAACCCAAACCCCCCTAGAGGTTTAGATCGTAACCGGTCAGTAATCACTTGATTACCTATGACCTCATACAAAATACAGAATAATTATAATAATGGGGCCATACAATGATGAAAGTCCATTGAGTTGTGCCAATATGATAAAAAATATACTTGCTTTCATTGTAGCACATTCACATATTTACATATCCATGCAAAACTGATGTACAATAGAAAACTTTACACTTATAGTTTACATCTCCAAAACCATCATAGCAAAATCAAATAAAAGCCATAACATGATATGAGCAAAAAGACAAAAGTTCCATCTTGGAGACTCGACCGATCGGGTTCACAAAAACAATTTCGGAAGCAGACACTAAGGTTGGGCTCCATGCTGCTCATCAATATGCTAATCACCTACATATACATAAATAATATAGAGTGAGCGAAGCTCAATGAGTAATAATATGGTAAAGAGGTTTAAATGAATGAGCCCGTTATCAAAGTAAGTATAACATTAGAAATTCGTAACTTTTTCATGATCATAATTACGAAATAGCCTTGGGTCCACTAATATTGCAGAACGGCCTCAGGCCCAATATTTATCGGAATGGCCTTAGGCCCACAAATAGTATAGAACGGCCTCGGGCCCAAATATTAACAGCCATTTAGAATGACCTCAGGTCCAATCATATATTATCACATCATTAACAGAATGGCCTCAGGCCCAACAACATCATAGTATAAACGAAATGACCTTAGGTCCATATTGCATATGTCATATAACATTCATGAAACTCATTCATTTCGATCAAAACACAATTTTAGAATGAATCACTGTTCATGGATCAAATAATTAATTAAGAACATATCTTTACAATACTATTACTCATAGTGATATTGGTCGTGCAATGGTCCCTCTGGCAGGCAACCTACACAACATAACACATATACAAATTCGGTAAACAACTCATTCATTTCTTGGCCTTTTCCTTTATTTAATCACTTTACGGTTCGTTTGTTTTTTGTTTATCTTTAGACATTCTGGAGGGACTAAACATGCTCATAAATAGGTTCAGAAGGTCGAAGAGGTTAACTGAAATTGACAGATTTTCTTCTTATTTTCTGCACATACGGAAGCCCCTCACCGCACGTGCAATAAAAGCAGAATGCTCGGCTCTGTTTTGTTCTGGGTTCCGTACGTGTGGCTGAGAGCTCCGAACATGCAATTCTGGGTTTTCTTGAGTAGTTCAAAAATTGATCAAATTCCAAGTTTCCAAACTCATTTTCAGAGCTCAATTCATGTAAAACCACTTCAAAAACATGATGTACTAACATTATATACGTGTAATTTCAATTCAAACACATCAATTTTGCTTAAAGTTCAAAATCAAGATCTCATCCTTTCCATAAATTCAAGAATCTTGTGATAAAGTTCAAAATACATCTTAGACATGGATAATCCTTACACATATCTTTGTTGTATAAACAATCTAGAACTCATCTCATGAATTATTCACAAGATTGAACTCAAATCAAGTAAAGTTAAAGAGATTAAGTTCCAATTTCTTAAGTTTAGTTCAAATAAACACACAACCCAAAACCCTAACTCATATAGGTTTAAAATCTCCAAATTCCTTCTTGATTTCAAACAAAAGATGAGTTACTTACAATGATTCTAGATAGATTTCATACCTTTGCTCAAATCTAGGAATTTCCCCTTGAATCTCTTTCAAATCTCTAGCTTCTCTTCTCAATTCTAGAACTCTCTCCTTCTTATTCTCTCTCTCTCTCTCTCTCTACCTCTCTAGCAAGAGTTGTTAAAAAGAGATGATCTCAAGGCTTAAATAAAAACTTATAACTTAGGCTAACTTAATTTAGGTTAGCTTAATCTAGGATTTATGCTAATTAAACTTAATTAATCCATTACGAATCATATTTTTTGACCAAATTTCACAGTAGACTCTAAAAATCATGCTAAATACAAATATAAAGTCAATTTTGGTTTCTGGCGCCTCTTAGGCTTTCAATTTTAAGTTCAAAGTTCTAATTGCGACAGATATTCTTACACTCAACAGATATAAGTTCAAAATCACATAAATCACATAATTAATCATGCAATTTCATATCAAACACATAATCACATGAACAATTAAGTATAATACGAGTTGGGTTTTTACATTCACATAGTAAGTTTTAGGATTTATAAAATAATTGGAATATGGACATATAAAGTTAACAAAATTCATATCATGGTTTAGTAAAGGCTGATCTCTAATCGAGTGAGCAGTAGTGCTCAATTAATGACCTTCCCCTCTCATACTTAAGGTTTTGAGTCAAGCATCCTTGGTTACAATGAACAGTGGCCTTGGCACGAGTCATGGGTTTCCTTATTTTTCCAAATACTAGGTGACGACTCTAAGATCTGGTGATATAGTCCATTTTTGGCAATGGTTTTGCAATAAAATTGATTTTCTATAAAAATTGCCAAATCTCGACTATCATCTATGTTTCACATTGCACTCATGAGACTAGATCGAAGAAATCGAGAGTTCGAATTATTTAACACGCAGGGGTACCCCCTGGGCATGGTATAGTTTTTGGCGACTCTATTGGGGATATTAAAGAACCTTGACTCAAACTTTATGATATGACTTTTATTTTCAATTAGATGTTGATTGCATTACATGCATTGGTGCACTTAGAGTCCCTCTGTTGCCTAGATACTAATGGGTGCACAGGTAAGTTTTTTGTGACACTATACTTATCTTCGTGTTACTTTTGAGACCTTATGTAATACTCTTTAAGATCTATCAAAAAGATAACTCCGCTATCTAAGGTTATCAGATTTCAACGAGAGGCTATATTGACTCTTTCGACTTCCTAGGATCTTAACTATTTATTAGCCAAAGGGCTCTTTCGTGACGTCACATTGACTTCAACCCCTAGAGTAGGGCCAACCTTGTACATATAGTGAGCTATAGTACCTTCTCAACTTAGGGCAGGATGCTCTTGTAACATGCCCGGGGGCTACCGGCGCGTGTTAACAGTTCGGACCCTCAATTATCTTCGATCTAGTCTTACAAATACAATGTGAAACATAGATGAGAGTCCACATTTGACAATTTTTTATGAAAAACTCGTTTTAATACAAAATCTTTGCCAAAAATGAACTACATCACCAGATTTTAGAGTCGTCACCTAATATTTTTAGAAAAATTAGGAAACTCGTGACTCGTGCCAAAGCCATTGTTCATTGTAACCAAGGATACTTGGTTCAGAACCTTAGATATAAGAGGGGAATGTCATTATTTGAGCACCCCCGCTTACCTAATTAAAGATTGGCCCCTACTAAACCATGATATGAGTTTTATTGACTTTATATGTTCATATTCCGATTATTAAATAAATCCTAAAATTTATTATATGAAGCATACAAGTATAGACTATGCCATTTATTTTGAAACAACGTGATTTCATGTGTTTTGAAAGAGTTTTGAAGACGTACAACCCAAAGAAATTAGGTTTACAAACATGAAAAATCAACATCATTCCAAATTAAGCAACACAACCTCCATCCAGTGGCATTCATATAGTTATATCAAATATGCAAGTGGCCACATGGTAGGATGCTTAAACATAGTAAAAAAGAACACACACAAACAAGCGAGATGCTAAAACATAAAAACTTACATATTTACCAATGTTCCGCGAATAGCTACAAAACAAAGTTAGCAAAATATGCATGATCTTATATACAAAATCCTAATGCAATTAACACATGAAATCCAACTAAAGATTCAGCTTCTAAGATATGACATGTGAATAATCTCAAGAACATAAGGTAGCACACATAATCACATAAGAATTGATTAACATCTACAAATGTAAATTTAGCCGAATCAAGATGCATGAAACATGGATATAGAGCATAAATAGGATGAAAAACAAAACATGATGCTTATTTACAAATAAGGAAAGCAAATAAAAGAATGAAATAGAAAGAAGTAGGGCGGGGAATTATTATGACGCTTTGAATAAATAATTACAAACCAAATGAGAGAAAAAGAATATTATAACACTACAAAAAAAAACTTTTAGCGACCTATTTTTTGGTCACCAAAGTGTTATTTTGGTTGCTGAAAGTATCCGTGACATGAACAAAATTGGTTGCTGAAGCCCTGTCACTAAATGCTTTGGCGACCAAATCAATTTTGGTTGCCGTTATAAATAAATTGGCGACCAAATACTTTCGTCGCCAAAAGACTAAAATTTCGTCGCCATAAAGTAACATTTAGTCACTAAAAATAGCCTTTAGCTGATGACATGTTAAGTTTCAGCGACATATAAATGCGTCGCTAAAAATATCTTTCAGTGACTAAAAGAATTGGTTGTTGAATGTTAAAACTTTTGGCGACCAATCAAGTTTTGGGTCGCTAAAAAAATTATGGACACATACTTTCAGCAACATAAATAAAATGTCACCAAAAGTAAACTTATAACTAAAAAAACCTGTCACCAAAAATTCATTATTTATAATTTTTTTTAACAATTTCCCTGTTTAATACATAATTCATAAACCTATAAATAATTTTTTTTAACAATTTCCCTGTTCAATACATCATTCATAAACCTATAAACATAAGCAAAATATAATTCAAATCAACACATTTGCGCAAAGCGTCCAAAAATATAAACTAAATTCAAAAGTAGTACCATATTAAATATAAACAACATATCAAATCCAAAACATCCAATTTAAGTACAAATCTCTTACAATCCCAAACTTCAAACATGTAATGCCCAAAGCCCTTCTAAGCTTGCAAATTTATAACAAAAACCTATGACAAAATATATCCAAAAATTCAAAATGTAATCCTTTGATGCGCCCCGAACTATAATTCATCCATTGCCAATCCAAAAAACCTTCCAAGCTTGCAAATTCATAACAAAAACCTATGACAAAATATATCAAAAAATTCAAAATGTAATCCTTTGATGCTCCCCGAACTATATTCGATCCATTGCCAATCTGTCAAACATATGAAAAAAAAAATTAAAATGTTAAAATGTTAATAATAAAGGTCTTGGTCTAAAAACATTGGTTTCACATTATAAATGAACAAATTGAGAGAAAATTTTCCTATGGTGAATTACAAAATTTCAATATACCAAAATCAAAAAGTAACACATAATTCACCAGTTAAACTTGGCATATATGAACTAATTACAAGCAATATCTCTATAAATTTGTAAACCAGTCACATGTTATCCAACCAAAACCTAGCTCAAATTATGTCATTATGGAATACTGATGAAATCCAATTTCAAGGTTCCAAAACAAGAGCAAATATCAATTGAGTAGGAGCTATCACTGCAATGAGATGTAATCGAAAGTGCTAACTTTACTTTCATGACTAAATTGAAATCAGAAGGACTTAAATCTTAAACTTGAGGCTGCTTTTACTTACATGAAGGTCAAATTATGAGATATGTGACATTTCTAGTATAGCATTATAATGTTCTTAGGAAACATAATAAGAGTTTAACATTGGGATAATGAAATTAAACCACATCTTTAGTCCCTAGATTAAAACAAAATATAGCAGCAATCTCAAAAACATAGGGATAATAAATCATCCTTTCTTTGAAACTCTCATTCCTAAACTCTAGTTCCTTCCTAAACTCTACTAGTCTCCTTCCTAAACTCTTATTTTCTTTTCTCTAGTTCCTCTCTAAACCCACACATCCCACCATACAAACCCACTAGCATTAAACCTACAATAGCCATCATGGCCAATAGATAGATAGTAGCCAACTAACTTTCCAGCCTCTAATATATCCACAAACTAACTTTCCTCCCCAACTCAACTAACTTTCCTCACTGCTAATAGAAGCTTTCCAGCCTCTGATATATCCACAAACTAGGAATAGCGAACAACCAACACAAATATTAGAGAGCAGCAAAATTGGGAGTGGATCCAAACGTGAGACCAAAATAGAGATAATGTGGAGATCAAAGACGAGGCCAGCTCAATTAACGAGATCTCTTGCAGTATCAAGTCAGACCAAAAGATTTCGCATTAAAGAATACTAGTGGCAAGAATCCCAATAGCAAGAATCCTTAACCAACTTAACTAACTTTCCTCACTGCTAATAGAAGCTTACTAGCCTCCGATATATCCACAAACTAGGAATAGCGAACAACCAACACAAATATCTGGTTTCTACTTAATCAAAGCCAAGGTATAACACTGGATAAACCCAAAAGGAAAGAGCCAACAAATACCTAACAGAAATACAATTTAATACAACCAAATCATTTTACAAAATTGGAAAACAAGGTTGAAATGACACAAAAACTGATTTCTAAACACTTCTTGAACAAAGAACCAAACAAAATTAGCACACACGCGAGCGCACCAAAAAAGAGAACTTGGGTAATAGCCCCAATAGGCTAGTTGGCACCTTCACTTTCCTATAGAATAGAAAAATGCTCCAAACAAGGAATGAAATCCAGAATTCATAATATAGGCCCCTTTTTTTTCTTTCAAAAATCAAAGGAAAATAGAAAATGGATCCAATAACTTGAAAAAATTTGAGAATTTAGAAGTGGCAACCCCACACCTAGTCGACCATGGTGGTACTTTATTTAGGTCAAGAACAGCGATGAGATCCTCCCTATGTGACGATCACGGTCGACTTATTGCTATGATACGAAATAAGATTTATCATAAAGGTGAAGAAGAACAACATATCCATTTGAACATCAAGCCAAATCTCTCATCTTAATGTCTACAAACCCTAGAAACTTTCTCCAACAAATGAGTACATAGCCCAATAATATTTTGTTCACCTAAATCTGCCAGAAATCCTGTTCAAGGCAGTTTCAAAAATGTTGTCCTACATTGACATGACAAAGTAGAAAAGGCAGCTTAGCCCAATGAAGATTTTCATTAGTGTCCATTTCAATGTGGATGCATGCTCCACTCTAATTACCTTTTACTATGCTGTGAAGCTTAGAGTCACTTAAAAAATAAACTAAAGAGTGATGAAAATTCAAATGCTAAACAGATGATCTTATAGATTCATTGCAAGAGAGAGTTTTTGCTACAATAAGAACAAAAGGAAAATTATTCACTATATTACAAGAAAGAAAGAGAATTGTTGAAGAACTCATTTAACCATTTAGGTGGAGTTGTTACCAATCAAGCTAACATTTTTTATTTATGGTCATCATTCAACTTTTTCTTGCATCTCAACCAACCATTTTAGCCTATTCCTCCAACTTATTTTCAATTTATATTACTCTAACTTAATCAACCAGCAACAAGAAGAACAATACATCAACAAATAAAGCAAACTAGCCAACTGAAGAGCATCATAGCAGCAGCTTGTTTTAACAAATATATTAAGTGAAGTGTTTTTAGTGATCTGAAAATTAAATTCTGAAAAGTATACTTACAGAGCAAGCTGTCAATAAAATTCCTCTGATGAACAATCATCTTCATCAACCTGCATGTCTGCCTTATCCTTGTGCATCCTCATAAACTTTTCAATCTCTTCAAACCTTTTGTTTTGCATTTCAATCTTTCTAGCTTGCTCTTGTGTTACCAAGTTCTGGGCTGCAATTTGTTCTTGCTGGACCTCAGCCAAATTCTTCAATGACTCTATTTGTTCTTGTAGGCTCGAAACCACCTCAACATGTGCTTGTGTACTAACAGAAGATTTGGATGAGGATGGGTTTCGACCAACTCCGAAGCCCTTTATGTATCCTGATTTACTCGTTCCAAGAACTTCAATTGACAGCTGCTCCTGAGTTAAAGGTATTGCCCCAGGCTTCAAAGACTCTTCACGTCGTTTTTTCAAAGCTTCCTATCAATTTTTAAACAACTTTAACAAATATAACCAATTACATAAATATGTAATTATATTAATTGGCATACTTACATGTAATTCACCACATATTGGAGCTATCCAATCTGCCTTTCTCTTGCTCCAATGGGAATCTTTGTAGAAGTCTATAATGTCAACCTTCGCAGTACCCTAATTCCATCAATTTAAAAGTAAGTATACATAATTAATTTTAACTCAATCACACTTTCAAAAATATTAAATGCATCACCTCTTTATACATTGCAGCTTGAAATGACTTAGAGCCCATTGTATGATTATATGGTAATTTCGATCGACTATTCCTCCCTTTTTTAGCCAATTCCTACAAAAGTAAATGATTAGTAAAATTAAATTGAAATTGAAACACGCTTCTTTAAGTTATGAAATTTTACCTGATGATCGCTATTAAGCCATACATGATTAATCATGTATACCCAAGCCTCATGGTCAACCCCTTTGTATGGCTTAGTGTAAGGGTCAACACCAGCTTCTACCAACTTTGAGTAATGCGTCTTCATCTTGTTACGCCAACTTTTGTAAAGGGTTTTACACTTCTTGTCGATTGCTTTCTGAACCTCTTTATCCTCATCATAATCAACAATCTCAAATTTATCCTGCAAATATATGAATAGTTTTATTAATATTAAAATGTAAGTGAAGGTGATAATCTAACTATTTTAAAAACAACAAATACAAGTACCCGAACTGCCTGAATGATTGGGGCTTTATGAATCTCGTCAATGTTATCCCACTTACTCATGCCAATTATAGGTGCAGCCATCCTTATTTGCAACCCAACTTCATTTGCAAATGGAGTGGCATAAGGCCCTACTGGTACCTTGGCATCTGCAGGGACCCAAACAGGAAGTTTTTTGCCACCATTTTTAGCTATGAGATGCGCTATGCTCTTCCCTCGAGTCTGACCCCTTCCCTGTGTAGAACGGGTACGCAAAGTAAGTGTAGATGGTGCAACCTGGGTAGTACTTTCATTTGTAGATGGTGCAGCCTGTGTAGTAGTTGCATTTGTAGATGGTACAGCCTGAGTAGTAGTTGCATTTATAGATGGTGCAGCCTGGATATGTCGAGCATTTGTAGATGGTACACTTTGAGCAGATGGAGTTAAGTTTGCTGGTGCATGTTGAATAGGGGCAGCAACTCTAGCTGGAGCTTGCTGAGTAGGTAAACCAACTTTAGATGATGCTGTGCTTCTAACTTTACCAGGGCCTGCCATCTACCACAACAACTCAACAATTAATGTAGCCCATCTGACTGTGTTATCATATTTTGAATTAAAAAAATCATGTACAAAATTACAAAGATTAGAATGAAATTCAAAATAAATTATAGAAAAATTATATCATTAATTCTATAGTTTAAATGAAATATTATTCTAATTTTTATAATTTTAAGGAAAATTAAAGTGTTGTTTCACTTAAATTACAGGAGTAATAGTATCATTTGCCAACCAGCAACTTGTACTTGTACCCCAATTCACCCCTCATTCATGGGGAGCCTACCAAGCCATGTCGCTTCGGTCAGCAAAGGGCTATTTAGTGTGACTCACTTAAACCCATCAACATGATTTTCACTTTTCATTATGTAATAACTTTTTAATATATAAGGATGGTTTAGAATAATCTAAATAAGTATATTTTTTATTTTTTTTATAAAAATATATGTAGAAATGTAAAGAGGTGATACGACTCAAAAACAATAAAATGATAAAAAAGTGTGTTACAATAGGTCATGCCAAACAAATTCATAATTTATAAACATAATTAAGTTGATAAGATGTATTGATAGCTATAAAATAATTAGGTTGATAAGATATATTGATAGTTATACGATTAGAGATCACATTTACATTAAAAACAAAGTGATTTTGAAAAATAATTCATTTTGAAAATAAAATAAAATTTTATTCAATCATCATGTGGTAATCAATGTTCGATCAATTTGATTTTTACATAAATAATATGCTTGACAAATAATAGAAAACGAACAATTTAGATAATCTTAATAGGTTTGGAGTCAGACCTAGTAAGAGTCATAGCAACCCCTGTTCTGTACAAAACACAACGGACACCCGATTTCTCATTCAACGGCATGAGATTATGAGTCTCTAAAAAAGTGTTTCTCCAATCATCTCTTCTTATCCATGTTAGTGACCAAAGGCACTTTTTACTCCCAAAAGGGTATCTATATCTCCCACTATATACAGTATTAAAATATCATACAGTGGAAAAACATCTTCCCTCTCAATGCTCTATATTCTCAAACTGAGAAACATTCAACAAACTCATTCATTTTGGCCTCATTTTATGATATGTTGCTACTGGTCACACAATCAAAACATGTATTCAATGTGTAAATATGCATGCATGTGTACATGCTTGTCAATAATAATGAAGTGATTAGTTAGTGAACTTTCTGGGAAAATAAATCCTCAAATATGCATTTTAACTGGTTGCAAATAAAGCCTACTTTCTGGTTGCTCAATGGGGACATTCTCTTACTCTCTATCATATAACCCAATTGAAAGCCTAGGAGAGGGAAAGGGACTACATTCAGAATATTAGAGACAGAGAAGAGAACAGATCAGAGACCCAAAAAGAGGGTCGCGATCTGCTGCTGATCTGCTGCCGATCTGCTGCTGCCCAGCGCTGCTATGCCGTTGGCATTCGGCTGCGTGAGAAAGCAAGAGGGAGAGGGAGAGGGAGAGGGACTACATTCAGAATATTAGAGACAGAGAAGAGAACAGAGCAGTGATCCAAAAAGGGTCGCGATCTGCTGCCGCCGAGCACTGTTATGCCTTTCGCATTCAGTGGCGCGAGAGAGTAAGAGGGAAAAGGAGATGGAGAAGGAGAGGGAGAAGGAGAGGGAGAGAAGAAGAAGAGAAGAAGAAGAAGAGAAGAAGAACATACCTGAGAAGTGCTGCCGCCGAGCACTGCTGTGTCGTTCTATGCTGTGTGCCGTTTCAGAGATGGATGAGAAAATGAGAAGAAGTTAGGTCAATTTGTTGTTTATTCACTTGTCAACATTTTTTGGCAATAAAAAAATTGGTAAAAAAAAAATACAAATTAATTTGTCTTTAAATTATTTGTCTTTAATAATTTGGTAAAAAATAAAAAACTTTGTTTATTGATATAATTGTCTTTATAGAAATTATTTGTCTTTAATAATTGTATTATTTGTCTTTAAAAAGTACAAATTATTTCTATAAATTATTTGTCTGTACCAAATTGTTTATTCACTTGTCAACAATTTTTGGCAATAAAAAATTTGTAAAGACAAATAATTTATTGGCAACCAAATTAATTTGGTTGCCAAAAATATTATTCAGATTTTTAGCGACCAAGGAATGTCTGTCGCCAAACAAATACAATTGGCGACCAAATGTTCCGTCGCTATAAATTAATTTGGTCGCTAAAAAGTTTTTCGCGCTCCCGCGCAAGAAATTCACTTGGCGCCAAAAATCAATAGCAACCAAAATTATAAATTCGTCGCCAAAAGTTTATTTTTTAGTGACCACAAATATTCTGTCGCCAATTATGTATCTTTGGCAACTAAATTTTTGTTTAATAGAAAGAAGTAGGGCGGGGAATTATTATGACGCTTTGAATAAATAATTACAAACCAAATGAGAGAAAAAAAATATTATAATAAAAATTTTAAAAAAAAAATCCTCACAAAACACTCAAAGGGAAATAAAAGAGAAGCTTCTTGTGCCTTGAAGTCCTTAGGAGATTGGTACGAGCAACACTAGAAGACTACATCCTTTCATCTAACAGAAGTTAACCAATCAGCCAAATAGGCCGGCTGGCTAACTAGGCCTAGCAAAACTTGTTTTGTTGCAACACCGAGAAAAACACAAACAAAGAATATGTAGGTGGCTCAACTAACCACTCCAGGTTAGATTAAAATAAGAAAACAAATATAAAATAGAAAGTACAAGATTATAACAAAACTAATATGAAACTAAAACAAGAAAACAAATATAAGATATAACATGCAAGATTACAACAAAACCAACATGAAACTAAAACAAGAAAACATAATATAAAACATGCAAGATTACAACAAAACCAACATGAAACTAAAACAAGAAAACAAATATTAGATAGAATATGCAAGATTGCAACAAAACTAACATGAAACTAAAACAAGAAAACAAATATACGATAGAACATGCAAGATTACAACAAAATTAACATGAAAATAAAACAAGAAAACAAATATAAGATAGGACATGCAAGATTACAACAAAACTATTACGAAACTAAAACAAGAAAATAAATATAAGATAGGACATGCAAGATTAAAAAAAAAAACTATTATGAAATAAGAGCAAGAAAATAAATATGACCTACACTAAACTTGGATTACAACAAAACATTATGAAATCGAAAGCAGAAAAATAAATATGAGTTAAACTAACCACTTGGATTACAGCATGACACTATGAAATAGAAAGCAAAAAAATAATATGGGCTAAACTAACCACTAGGATTACAACAAGATACTATGAAATAGAAAGCAAGAAAATAAATATGAGATAGAAAATATAAGAAAATGAAAGACTTGAAGTTTACCTTCCAAAGAAAGACTGAACTTCTTGATTTCCAAACTTCCTCTTGATCACCCTCAAGGTTATGGTGTATGCTTTGAAATTTCAGCGAGATGCTTCAAATTCTAGCTTTAATGGAATTTTGGATGGTTGAAAAGGCTCTCTTACTCTCAAAATAACTTAAGGTTTTTCAAAATCAAATTTTCTCCCTTAAGATTTTTGAAACAAAAAATTCTCTTTGCCAAATTCTCTCTTTTTTTGAAACAAAATTTCTTTTCTCAAATTTTTTTCTCTTTTTTTTTCTATTTTTTCTTCAACAAAATGATGTTGTATTTATAGACTTCCAAAACACCCAAAACACGTGGCTTGCCATGTGATACGAGAGCCAATTTTTCAAAAAAGAAAAAATTCAGAAAAAAATATTTTTGAATAGGTCTAAAATAATTTAGTCAAAACAGGTGTAAGGTTGGAATTAAAGCTTAAACTCAACTTTTTTTGTTGAGAAATTCGTAAAATAACACATTCCAACTTCCATCATCTGCTGTTCAAAAGAAAGCGCCCAAGTCTTAAGACCAGTCAAAATGGGGTATCTGCAGCTCTCTCATTTCTAGGATGTATGATGCCGCTTGTTTGAACAGTGAAACCCTATATTATTTCAAAGCTAGAACAGGGTAACCCTACCCTCCATAGGGGTGTTTGTTCTCTTTCGTGCTATGTG